AACAAGAAGTAACGCCACGTCATGTGACTATATTAGAGATAACTGCTTCGTGTGACATCATACAGATCCAAGAGTAGAACAAACTGTCAGAAACTTTGTGTTTCCAGGAGTCTGAAGCCTGAACTTTGGCTCGTGTGTGATTGAAGCATGTAACACTGTAACAGTGCACACCTGCCCACTTTAGGTTCCACTGAAGCACCAGAGTTTAAAGATTTTTTAAGGTATGAACTGATTTCAGGGTCTGTAAGTGTGTTCAGTTTAGTTTTGATTAGTTTCAGTTATAGTTTTAGTCATATTTGCAATAATTAAGTGTAACAAAATCCCAGTTTCATCATATCAGTCATTCTCTTCTGCTCATCCTTGGGTATGTTGCTATTCCAGCTACCATACCCTGCATCCTGGACAGGTTGCCAGTCTGTCGCAGGGCTAACACGCAGAGACAGACAACTCACATTCCCACCTATGGGGAACCAATGGGTTCTTTAAAAAGAAAAGGAAAAAGGAAATGAGGGCAGATGAACAACCTTTGGTACCAGGTACCTATAAAAAGATATATCTTGGCCCCAATGAGGCTATGAACTCTTGCAGAACCAGGTGTTCCTAATTTTGGTTCAAGTGAATTACTAAACTTTTTGAAGACAATTGACTCACACAGTTGTGTAGATATCCCGGTCTCCATCCATCCATTATCCTTTTCAGGGTCGCGGGGGGCGCTGGAGCCTATCCCAGCTGTCATAGGGCGAGAGGCGGGGTACACCCTGGACAGGTCACCAGTCTGTCGCAGGGCTGACACACAGGGACAGACAACCATTCATACTCACATTCACTCGCACATTCACACCTAGTGGCTTTTTGGATTATCCAATTCACCTATCCCCACAAGCTGCATGTATATCCCAGTCTCAATAAACATATTCGCCAACGCTTCGTCTCGCTTGTGATGTTCCTGCGAACTGACCAACCAGTAGCCATCAGGTCGCCGATTGAAGCACTGCATTAATGTTTTTTGTGGAGTTGTCTCGGGATGCATCACGCTGCCTTGCCTGGAGTTAGCTTCTGTTTCTGGGGATGAGGGTTGGGCGTGCTCCCTGACCTTCAAGGTAAGCTAGATTACCAATCAAAGCAATCCCAAATTAGACTCTGGCACTTTCTCCCGACTTTTGCTGACACGATTTTGCGCGTGGACGAAGCAGCAACACAAACGATTCGACTAACATACTGCCACCTGCTGGCATAGTGAGACACAGCAAGAAAAAAACCTGGAAACCACCTCATTTTCACGCTAGACTATTGTATGACACGCACACATCAGTGAAAACTAAACACATTTTTGCTATAAATTCAGTTAATTTTAGTTTTGTGAGCACTCATTACAGTTTTAGTTAGTTTTCCTTTTTTGGCAAAGTCTCGTTTTTATTTTTATTTCCATTAACGAAAATGTTTTTTCACTTCAAGTTTTCATTATTTCGTTAGTTTTCGTTACCAATAATAACCTTGCTAGGGAAGGCGTGTGTGTGTGTGTGTGTGTGTCTGTCTGTGGTACAGCTTTCTGTACCCACAGGGCAGCAACCAGCCCCCCACCTCCCCTTTTCCTGTCTCCCCCACTAAACAACAATCCACTGGATCCTGCCGCCGCTCAGCGTGTGCGCTGCAGAGACACACACGTATCACAGCTCTGCCTCAGCCCGGGTCACAGAGCAGCATATGTTCTATAATTATCCACAAAGAGAATCTTTCAGCTCAGAGCCAATATTTTCTCGTTAAACATTTCATTGACGGGTTGGTGGTGACGGCTGCCGCTCGCTGTGGCTGCGAGGCTGCTAACAGTGTGAGTCTTACTTCGAGCTCCTGTTTCCTTCCATTAGCACAGTAAACAAACTTAGATGGTCTGCTCGCCAACCACTCTTGGAAATATATTCACTACAGTATCTTAACTGTCCACTGTGATATCAGTTTTATGAACAGCACATTATATTGTGCAACTGCAGCATGACAGTATAATGTATTTGAATGGGCTTCCTAATTTTAAAGAAAATGTGCTTTAAATACAAAATCGCATTTAGAAAGGCAGCTAGATGCTTGTGAGGAGCAGTTTGATGCCACATACTGGAGAGTAAATCAACCGTGCAGTTTACTCAGCTACTTGTAACAAGGCAGTCAGAGAGCAGAGATATTGTTGATGTTGGCGTGAAGGTGACTTTACCACGAGAGATGAAACACAAACTGTTTCTTTAAAGTTCTTTTCGAGCTCAGGCAGCAAAAATGAACCTCTGGATTTATCCACGTGTCATTTTTAAAGCTGATATTTAAGAGGGTAAAAGGTCAAACTCATAAATGTCATAATACGACCGTCAGCTGTGTTTAAGGACAGTCCATCTCCAAATCATCTGCACTATTTAAGTTTGGGTTTCTCTGGTTTGGAGATTTCAGCGGAGAGGATGTTTGCGTTGTCTTGAATCTGATGGAACCAAATGGCATTCATGGTTAAAACTCCATCAACACATTTAAAAGACACTTTCAAAAAAGCAGGATCCCATTACAATCCTTGTTACATGTTTTTCATGTAACTATTTTCTTTCTGCGGTCTACATCCATCAGTGAAAAGACTCAAACAGCTAAAACTAAAGCTCAGCTGCATCGATCCTGTTACATACAAACACATTCAATTTCATACTTCCTGTTTAGTTTATGAAAAAGTAACATTATTGTTGCTTTCAGTGAGTTTTGTAAATTGATCAGTAAATCCATAATGAGTCATATCATCATCAGATGAAAGCTGTGGAATATAATTTCTAATTGTCTGTGATTGTAGTGATGTAACCTCCACTACACCAGTAAACACTAAAGTAAAAGTACTTACATAATTTTTACTATTACTGTCTAAAGAATCAGTTTTATGTCAGAGGCTCCATTTCCACATTTTTGTAGATTTCTTAGCTTCCCATCAGCTCGTCTGAATGGACACGTTTGTGCTGTTACCGAACAAAGTCAGAGCACAGACGATCACAGACACACTTAGACAACAGCACATTATCAGGCCTGGGTTTCCTGTTAGTGCTGCTCCCTCTGGGAGAAGAACATGTTGATGCATTTTCCTGCTTTCCCTGCACTCTTCCCTGATGTCAACTCACACTGAAGGCAGTGGACAGAAGGAACTCTCACCGGGCATGGGCATTGCTTCAGCACCTGCAGAGCACATTTACAGGACGTTTAAGCTGCATTAGGCCTGATGGTGATCAGAATTATCACGTTACTGAAGGAAAGATTTGTAACAAATTGATTATTGGCTAAACTGATTATTTTCTGAATTAATCCATTTTTTGATTATATGACTAATCTTTTAACTGAGAAGCAGTTTCTTTTTGGCTGTTGTTTATCTGCCTTAATTAAAACTCATCTCCAGTTTTTTTAACCCAAATAAAGTGACTTGTGGCCATGTCCGTGCGCACACAGAGCCAAGAAAGAATGAGCAGGATCCCAGCACATTTCAGTCAAAACATTGAATATGTTTCAGCTTGTTTTGGATCCATTCTTCTCCATCTGTCCCTCGCTGCTCAAAAGAGGTTGACAAATGTGACTCCAAACTGTTCATCTGGCATCTCACATCACCAACCAACACAAAGCCCTTTCACAGGATTTTTACAAAGCTGGCAGTTTCAGCATTGGTCAGAGCTGGCAGTAAATCTGTAGCATGTGTTTTTGGTCCGGTGACTGCTGACAGATGGAAAGCACAGGCATCTTGTTGACTCCTGTTGTTTGTTTTTGTCGGGCTTTAATGTTCTTTGCAGATGTTATTGCTGATTGTGAAACACAGAGACACTGCACGAAACGTCAGGCTCACACATGAAGGTATTTACATGTAAACATGAATTTCTACAACTCTGAGGGTACAAACCCAAAACACAGATTTGCTTGTTCATCCTGTTATAATCAAGGTAGGTCAACAAATTGGAAATAAGTTGGAATTTTTATTTAAAGATCAATAGCACTAAAATCTGTGTGAGAATATGAAGTCAGTACATGGTAAGCTTTGCATGAAAGACTCGCTCTCTAAAGGCTGACGTTTCACGGTGGGGTAGGATTATGTCAGGGAGCTGCTCTGAGCTCCTTTTTATTTGCAGTGGTGATGGACGGCCTGACAGATGAGGTCAGGCAGGATGCTCTGTGGATGATGATGTTTGCAGATGACACGGTGATTTGTAGTGAGAGTAGGGAGCAGGTGGAGGAGAGCCTGGAGAGGTGGAGGTATGTGCTGGAGAGAGGAGAATCATAAAGCTAAAGGCTTGAAAAATGAAAAGTTTTCTGGATTTCTTCTGTTCTCAGTTTCCTTAGAAATCTGCTGCTAAATGCTCACTCATTAGCAGAGGGTGTTTTCCTCGTGTTATGAAGGTAACACAGTATCTTGTACTGCCAGCAGGACTGATTTACAGATTGTAAATAACAGCCCTTTTCAATGACTAACTTGCATGTTCCTCAAATAAACTGAAGCAATGTTACCTTGAAAATTGCTCATTATTGTGCCTTTGTTTCTAAAAAGAGCTTCTGAGGGGGTTTACCTTTTTTATGGGACTGTTTTTAATGTTTGGTGTTTTTTTATGACTAAAAACCTTCTTCCCCACATGTTAAAGTATAAAAAAAGAGCGAAGAATGAAGCTATTTGCATTTTTGGCTAACTGAATGAATTAATGAAAACCTGATGTTAGATAAATGTAGAAAAAAAATCAGCCTGCAAGTACCTGCAGTGTTTGCTGAAGAGGAAGGTGTGTATGAGAAATCTGCAGTTTGGTAACAGGTGATTATCTCCTTATCCACACACACTCTCACACACTCTCACACACACACACACACACACACACACACACACACACACACACACACACACACACACACACACACACACACACACACACACACACAGCATGGCCTGATAACAGGTCCGGGATGAAGTGCAAACATGAACACGCGCAGATACACCAGAGCCCCTCTTACTGAAGCGTGACTGTAAGGTGTAGTAGAAGCTCTGCTCTGGTCTGACTGATCATTGGACTGATTGCTGGACATTTTAACTACGCTGCAGTCGTGATGGGCAGAAACTGATGTATAGAACAGATTTTTTTCTAACTTTAGGCCAGAATACAAACAACAACAGGAGCATCTAAACCAGAAAGCTGCAGGACAACAGTTTGACTTCAGGTCAGCTAACAGTAAGACCATAACGTGATGTTATTACGTGCTGTTTTTTAGCCGATGCTGAAGTTCTCATGGTTTGTTTTTCACCCTGTAAGTTCTTCAAAGCCACGTATGTTGTCGCCCGTCAGCATTTCTGAAGCTTTTACACAGATAGTGAACCCAGCAGCAGAAAAACATCTGATTTCAGTGGACCATCAAACTGCAACACAAAGCCAACCTAATGTTTAGGACAGCTGCCTGAAAAGAATTACACAGCTCTTGGACTCAGTACTCGACAGTGAAGTCATTGTTCTATTCCCCCTTAAGACTATCTGCTAGGTGTGCATTTGTTGGTCTACGTCACTTACATTTCTCTGTTAAACCTGAACTTTTTCTAAAAAAGCAGAGTGACCATGGACCCGAGGAACACCCCATCCTAAATTCAGCAGAGGCCACGCCCATCATGGATGAACTGGATGTCGGGGAAGATGGCAGGAAAGGTTAGTAGTATTATTTTGTAATCCTATAAATAAATAAAACTAACTTATTGGAAAGCACTTTTGCGGTGGTGCTATGGTGGCTGCAGCCCCCTCTGCTGGCCAAACCTGAATACAGCGTGAATACTTCTGTAGTTCTGTTGAGTGTGAAATATTAGGAAAATGTAACAAACGAAATGCAGTTGTGTTCTACGTATCGTGACATTGGCTACTGTAACTGAACAGTGATAGAATAAAGAGGGTACGTACCTCGACCTGAGCTGATAGATCCCTGTATCTTATAGTTATTCCTCTGAAGAATAATTTGCACTGATTTGAATTTTACTTTCAGTTTATGAGCAGACATTATTAAAATGTCATTTTTACCTTATTTTACCAATTGAGAACAATGAATCTTCTGGAGGCACAAATATTTCTTATTTAAACAGCTGGATTTGGGGTCAAACATCATGATGGTGAAATACTGGCTCCAGATCTGATTGGGTCACTTGTAAGATTGTTTCCCGACTTGTCACAAATACACACCTCAGATTATAAAGCACTGTGCAACAACCTCGAGTCACCTCGATTTCATTAACATTGGAAGTAGGTGCAGCGATTTATGAAGAGATGTTCTGATATAATCTGGCACACTTCCTTCAGATTGGCTTCAGCCGCCTTTCCACTGATAACATTTCTGCTGAAGCTTGAATAGCAGATGGATCAAATAAAGATCCAGATGCTTTTCTCAGGTTCTCTGTTGGGTCTTTGCTGGATTCTGTTCCTGTTTCTTAAGGACATGACTTCAGACACTGTTCATCTGAAGCAGACAGGTTTTTGTTTTAGGCATACACTGCACACTATGATGAGATATATCAAGTTGCTGGCTAATATCTCTTTGGTAATCAACTTGTTAATACAAAAACACATTTTTATGTTTTCTTTTATAAATAAAAAATAGATAAAAACATTTAGAGATAAGTGGCTTAACAAACAAAAACATTGTTTTGCTGCAGATAACTTGAAAAAAAACAAGATAATCTCCTTTGGAAACAAAAAATAAAGAAATGAGGGAAGCCTCAAGGCTGTGGCCTGTGCACAGATATGGAATTAGGCATGCATCATTCAGTACGATAAAACTTAAATGTCCACAGTTGTGTTAATAAACTGTGGTTATCATTGTTCTGTGGGCTAAACTGCTTCCTTTCACAACAGTAATGCTACACATCAAAAAACAGCCTCGTCTCTCTATCGGCGTTGTGTAAAGCTGCCAAAGACATCTGGTATATAACACACACCAGCAGCTTGGAAAAAACTGCAATATTTTATAGAACGGGAACAAAAACAAACTTGATAAATCTGAGGAGGCGAATCAGTAAACAAATAAAGGGTGTAAAAAACATTCCTGCTACACAGACTTTCATTAAAGGTCTGCTTTTTAGACAGATCAATGGATGGCAGTGTTTTCTACTGACTTTATGTTCTGTCAGTGTGAATATGACTGAACATATGCAATGTTAAGAGGAAGCACTGAGATTAAAACAGCAGGTGAAAGAGCAAGATGTGGAAAAACAGAAAGGACAGAAGTTTGACTGACAGGCTGGACTCACACTGAGAGGAAAACACATCAGCTCTGAGCTTCAGAGATTAGAAAGCCGGACAGAGACGGAGGTCATATGTTTGTGTAACATAAAGAGAGCCAGAGTGAGCGTGAGGGGAAAGAAAGGATGTAGAAAAGCTGGAGATCAGAGAGAGCAGTTTGGATGTATACAGGGAGACGGGCGGAGAGGCTGCGGTTGTTCTGTAGGCGGTTTGGGGTTTGAGTGGCAGCTGGAGACCATATTGAGATGAACACACAGCACTTCTTGTTGTTAGATTTAGATTAGAACCAGATGTTAAGTCTGCTACTGCGAGCAGTTTCACTACCTGCCTGTCTTTGAATTACACCCCGACTTCCTCCACCGCCTTTTATTATCATCTGCCCGCGAACATAAATGGACCTGAGCCCGGTTATATGAAGACCTGACTGCGGCTCAGGTGGGTAGATTATCATCAGCAGGATTATTAGGAGTACAGAGCCTGTCAGGGTATGTGTCCTCTAAATGCATCGCATGCAGGGAATAATACCGTTATACAAAAGGACTGAAAGTCTGAATGTGGCTGTGCTGAACAGCTTCTCAGTCCCAGCTCTCCTTTTATTTAAAACACAAACAAACTTAGGTCTAGGTTGAGTCTGTGTCGTAAACCTTTGGACAAACAAAAACTCACCAATGTTTGGTTTTATGCATTTAGTGCAAAAGAGAAATTCATTTTTTCATCTCGTCAGCATGTGCGACAACAAATAAAGTCATCGACAGCTGTTTAACTAACAACGTTTTACCACTCTTTCACAAACATATCTGGATATATTTGTAGTTCATTGCATTTCTGTTTTGATTCACTTGAGTAGTTCTCAAAAATGCAAAAGGAAAAATAAAAAATAAAGAAAAACTGCAGCTATTCATGCAATCATTGGCTGAATGAGTTCCAGACTGAGCACTGCATTATTATTCATAATGACACACACTTTTTTTTCCCTAGAAAAAGGAGGTGTGGACCCCTTGTACCCAGTAATTTGTACCCATGGCTGCATTGATAGCCCAGGAGCCCCTCTTTAGTCACGCCTGCACCGCTGACCCGTTTAAAGTTTCCCAGAGACACGGCATTGCTGATCATGCGCCTGTATCATGACTCTGTCACCTCCAGTCTGTCCACCTGCCTGTATGGCTGTATGATTAAGCTTCTCTCTGACTGACTGTGTTGACTTAACCACGTGAGCCCTGACCCGTCTCTGTGCTCGAGCAGACTCTCCCTGAATGGTGGCTTTGACTGCCTGAAGCATCACCTCCAGGCAACCAGTGTGAACCCAAAGCCTCTTTCCCTCTGTCTTACACTCACATCTATTTTCAAATGTGATGCTTTTAGTGACCTTTAATTATCTTTCCACTTCATTTCACTGACTCATCATTTGTTTCACTTCAATGTAAACACTTACTGCATCTAAAACCGTACAAAAATCATAATAACATCAGTGAGAACTTGTCTTTATTAGTGCATTATTATCATGATCAATACTGATAATAATGTCCAAACTGGACCTTATCCAACATCCAACTTTCAGAGGCTTTTCCAAGCTCCTTAAATTTTGAAGGCCTCTTTGGAAAATCTCAGTCACAAACTGCTTGTGTTGGCATTTGACTAAGAATTATTTTCATTAACAATTTATCCACAGATCATTTCAGTGAATAATAACTTAACTGTTTTCTCTGAATGCCACAGAATAACTCAGTTTTGAGTTTTATTTTCCTCCCAGAAGCTGAGCCCATTTTTTTAGTTTAAAATTTAAAGATTTTTACTTTAATCAAGAAAAACAGCGAATTGTTGCATTTTAAAGTCCAGTCTGTTTGACTGGATTACTTGAAAACTGGTTAAAATTATTAATCAGATATTAAATTAAGACAATTCAGTTAAAACTTTCATGCACACATATCACATGTGACCATATCACACCATGAACTCGATGATTTCTGCTTTGGGCATACCTTTGCTCCTGCAAAGCACCGCATTGTCCTGCACACATCTCCTATTTCACTCGGTTAAATGAAGTTTAAATGATGCGACACTGTGATCTGACTCATCGTGTTAATCTCTGCTTTAAACAGTTTCACTGCGAAATCAATCTAACACTTCGTTTCCTCTCAGAAACACTGCTGCACCGACCTGGCTTCCCCGAGGCAGACACCGCTCTGTTATACCCCCCTCCCCTGTCCCCGGACCCAATCAGCCCGCTGACTCACCTGGGGACACTGCCGTCCGGACACGATGCAGCACGGACGGGTGGATGGGACAGGTAAGACGGAGAACCAGCCGGGTGCTCAGACCTCTGCGACAAAAGTCCCGAAACACACGCACGCAGGGTGTCCCGGGTCGGGAAAGGTGAGGTCACGGTTTGCTGGAGTTTATCCCAAAGTCTCGGAGAGGAGGTGAGGAATGAGCGCGTGGACGTGAAAAAGTTTCAGGTCAGCTTCGTGTTTCTGCCGCGCTGACCTTCGCTCGGTTTTACTCACTGTTGGAATGAAGTGGTGCAGTGATGGTGAGGAGGTATAAAAGTGCCAAGAAGTATTTGGGGAGGTAGAGACCCCGCCCCCCGGCCTTTGAAATCCGAACAATGTTGAGCGCGCAGAGAAGTTTGGAGAGGTGAGACCTGCTACGGCGCACGAGCGCACAAATGTTTCTGCTTCCTAAAGTTCATCAAGTGTTTTACAGATAATTTGTGACTGATCAGTGACTCTCTAATGTTCAGCTTTCTCACTCTAATGTCATTACTAAAGTAATGTGATTACATTAACAGTTTTGAGGCCAAAGAAAACGAGTCCCATGTGGCAGGAACTGTTCATGTCAGACGAACCAAAACAGTTTGAATTATGATATTTATGTTAAAATCCTGCACATGATAGGATATTTGTTTTTATGAATAAGTCGTGTGACCTGAACATATAATCTGATTGGGTGTTACTGTCTTTCTGGCATTTAGCTCTGAAAACTTAAATGTATTTTGAAAAAGACTGGAGCATAGACTGTATATAAAAGATGGATGTATCCAACTTGGCATGGCAGCTTAGTTACTGAGGTCCAGTTTTAAAGCTGTGCATTTAAGCTGTTGCTATCTTGGTTTTGTGAACCCAGATGTGCTGAGGTCTTTCCTGAAGCATGCTTCATTCTCATTTTTTATTTGGGAGTTGCAGGAAGCATTTCTACATAAACCCTTATACAGCTGGACTTTATTTTGCAAACAGAATGGTCGCCCCCTGCTGGTCATCAGAAAGAAAGCTGCTTTATAGGGTATTTCCACATCACTGTCACGCTTCAGATTTAAAAGCTACAGCCATCTTTTATATACTGTCTATGGCTTGGAGCTCCACTTCTGTTTTGGTTGAAGCAACATCTTATCCCATAATCGTATCCTGGACCAGTCAGCCCACAAATCACACACTGGTGTCCAAACTACAGCAACCAACAATTCCCAGTAGTTCAGAAAGGCCCCAGTCACACAGGCGACCATCTGGCAGCCACTGGTCATAAGGGGAAAATGAGTATTATCCCAAACAGTTGCAGGTGGTTACTGAAGGTTTCTGGCAAGCCCATGCAGACCTAGAGATCGATCAGAGACCAACCTGGTAATCACCAGTTGCTAGGAAACCATGCATTCTGCAACCAGTTGGTATGCGGTTGTAGGAGGTTGCTGGTAGTTTCTAGAATAAAACTGGTCACAAAGAGGTTTCACATGATGTACCAAAAACCTCCCGGTGGTTTGCATGGAAGACCCCAACTTGTCTGCAAACACTGTTTGCCTTCAAAGTAAACATGTCAGTAAGGTTCAGCTTGTATTTTAAAGGTAAATGTTTTCTGTTTTCAGTTTGCGTCCCACTTTTTTAGGTTTTACTGCAGCCCACAGTGTAAATATTGAGTTTTTGCAGACAAGTCGACACTTCCATGCAAACTACAACTGACCTGGGCAATCTGCTCGAACCCAGCAATCACATAGAGGGTTTAGGTGCAGTCCTTTCTATGTGACCAGTTTCACCAAACAATAGCTGCAAGCTCGAAACTCCAGCAGCCACTCACAACCAGTCGAGAAATACACTTTATTCTTAATCAACCTCCTGCTCCTCACCAGCTTGGATCTAAATTCTCTGAAGGTTGTAAAACTTCTAATTTAAAAAACTTTTCTTCCACTTGTGGATTTTAGGGCCCAGACACCTGTTGAGTTCATCATACTAACAAACCCAGTAATTGTAGTGATTTTAAACTTTCAAATACTTGTGTGCTAGAACAACATCTGGAGCAGAAGATGTAGATGCAAGTGTATTTCTGTCCACCCCTCCCCCCGTCCTTCTTCAGTTCATTCTGTGTTCCTGGTGTGAAATACCAGGAGCCCTGCGCTCCTGACGCCTGCCCTTTGACCTGTGAAAATGTGAAGGTCTAATTTAAACTACAAACTGGTGAAGACACACACAGCCATTCAAGTCTGAACCCTGACCCGTGGAGAGAGGCGTTAGTAGGATCTGATGTTCAGTACAGCTGGCCAAGCAGGCGCTCGCCCTTATGGAGACCAGCTGGTCTGAATACATGTGTCATCATCAGGGTCGAGATTATAGAAGGACTTGTATCCTTGGTGACTTTTCTAAGTGCACAAATAATATATTTGCTAAATGCTTTCTGTGCTCAGTAACAGTTTAAGGGCTTCAAAAATAATATAAACCATAAGAAAGAGAAGTGATACTTTTTTTTTTCCATTTTTTGTGATTTTAGAGTTATTGTAATAGAACTGAGTTAAAGTTTGTTGTTTGCCATAATAGGATTGGAAATATTTCTTATGAGTTGTTAAAACATGAATTTCTTTCTACTTAAAGCTTGAAGTCATGTTTCTGTACTGAAGAGTCCAAAGTCTGCATGTGAAGCTCAAACATCCACTGTGCCATCTCTGTTTGGGACTTTAGTCACTCTCAGTTTCTCTACTTTTTTAATATCTTAATATCCAGATAATAGTTGTGAATGGAAAGTATTTGCTCTTACCTTAAATTTGTGTGAGAACTTGGTGGCTGCCACAGGAAACCGCAGCAGGTTGATTTTTAACCACTTACATAATTCAGCTGTCTTTTGAGTCCTTCCTTATTCCCTTGTCTTCCTCCTCTCCTCCTCTCCTCCTCTCGTGTCGATAGTCTTCATTAGGAGTAGCATTCCAGACTCCAGGCCCCGGGGTCGTAACTCTGTGTCTGGCTCCTCATTACATCGCTACAGCGGGGAGAAAACACAGCTAATGTGACAGGCGCTATTGTTAGCAGAGCAACACGGGGTCAGTCAGCTTGTTCTTTCAGCCTTTTGCCTGCTGTTCAGCTCAGCATTTAAAATCTAATCACACAGAAGGAGGCCGCGTTAACAGAAGTAATGAACACTTTACAAAGTAAAAAGGTTGTAAATAACCTGCTCAAACTCAGGATTAAATGAATAGAAAAAGATAAGATAAGATACCTTTATTAGTCCCACAAGGGGAAATTGTGGGACTAATAAAAGCATTAAAATCTAAGTGTAAAGCCTTTATTTGATTAAAGCACTGCTTTGTTGTCTTGTAATTACAAAAGATCCAGCAAGTGGAAACATAATATCAAATACTAAATGTCCATTCAGAAAACCCAAGTCTGTATTTGTGCTTCAGGAATCTTTTGTCCACTTAGTCTAGTTTTGTTCTGGCAGTGGCTCACCCGCTGTTCACTTACCTGCTGTTCACTTACCTGCTGTTCACTTACCTGCTGTCAAAACATGAAATATCTAAAATTTAATGACCGGAAATAAGACTTTGAGGGTTTTTTCTTTAAATTAAATGTCAATCAGAGGAGAAAATGAACAATACATGAAACAAATAATGTGATTAAACAATAGCTTTTAAGTTCTGCCTATATTTGAATAATGTTTCTCTTTATTTGCAAGAAAAACCAAACATGCATACACATCCATATATCTCTGTTGGCGTATGTTCATATTAAACATGGCCCAAGTTTTGAATAGTGAGGTCAGGGTATGTACAAGGAGTCCACCCTGTTCTAAAAGTTTTATCCTTTTGACTGTTTTAACTGTGAACATGTAAATCTACTAAAAAATGAAAAATATGGATCCAGACATGAGCAAAGATGCTCTGTGGAACAAAATGAAACAAGAAAAAACCAGAGGCCAGAAGAAGAAATGAAATAAGCATGAATGCAGAAGTCAAGTGATCAACAAAGAAAAGCAACCATAGATCTAAACTGTAAATCTAAACTGCATATAAAGTAGCATGAATTGAATAATAAACTGCATGTATATGCATCAGCATATGTGTATTAACATGTTATTTTTGTACAAGTAACCTGTAAGTTAACTAGTTCTGATCAGAAAGGATTATTTTGCTTTCATTTGGTCCCGAGTCTGTATCTGAAACTTAAATTTGTGAAAATGTGACATTACTGCGTCTCCTGTCTTTTCTCTCTGTGCTGGTAGAAACAGGCGAATGTTTTCCAGCTATAAAAAGAACTGTTCCATGTTTTAATGAGTCTCTAACAACACTGTTATCCCATCTTTGGCTTGCCTGTATTTATATCTGCTGCTGTTGAGTCTCTTCTAAAGATGGATGGAGTGTCTGCTGATGATAATTGTGTGCTTAGTCTGAGCTACTTTGTGGGAACATGAAAAAAAGTGTAATTCAAACTACAGTGGGATTCGTTTCTTGATAACATGGTGGTAAAACTCTAGTCTGCTTCATTCATGTGTCACTCAGCATTGTTTTTTTTAAGGAAACGAGCAGGTTTTCACCACTTTAACCACGTCCATGTGTTCGTTTATGATGGCAGTGAGCTGTCTGCCTGAAACGGAGTCTCGTTGCACACATTTAGTTTCTGTGAAAAACACCAAACTGGGCTGAGATGCTGCAGACATCACACAGTTTAGAAACGGGCCTGATTTAAAGTCAGACGATGATGGTGATGGAAGATGTTTTGGAGCACTGGTCATTCCTGTATTATGAATATTTGTGACCCCTGATTTTTCCTGAAGTGCTACAGTGATGTTCACACTTGTAGATAAACTTAAAAACTGCTGAGTTATTTTATGTCATAAAATTTGCTACAAACATTTGCACCTCCATCAACACTTTTATGCATAGTTTTTCTGTTGAGCACCATCAGAATCTTGGCTTTTCCTCACAAACACACTATGTGTTGTTTTTTGCGTTTCTTTGTGACAAACATCCTTG